CACATGTTTAACAATTGGTAACGCATTAATACTTCGAGTATAGGATGAGTCGGGAAGGAAAGGCTAGATAGGCTTGCTCGACCGGGTTCCCTCGGTCGCGCGCCGGTCGCACTCCCCAAGGTTTTGGGGCATGACATGGGTAGGGTATAGAAACGGGTCACCGGTTGGGTTATTGGGTTAGAGGTCATTTGGTTTGGGCTGGGATGTTAGGTTGGTGCGTTGCAGGTAATTGGGCTAGGGGTTGGTCAACCTCTCCATAATGACCCATACTACATCGAACTTCCTCTGAGTTTTTGGGAGACCAATAACAAAATCCACAGTGATACGTTCCCACTTCCACTCAGGAATTTCTAACTTCTAAAGTAGATCACCAGTTCTCTAATGCTCGTACTTGACTTGCTGACAGTTTAAACATCGAGCTATATATGCAACTCTATCCTTTTTGATTTTCCTCCACCAATAATGTTGCCTCAAATCTTGATACATTTTGGCGGTACATGGATAAATAGAATATCGGGAACTGTGGGCCTCCTCATGAATCAATTCACGAAGCCCATCTACATTAGGTACACAAATACGACCCTACATCCGCAGAACTCCATCTTTTCCCACAGTAACCTATTTGGCACCATCGTGTCGCACCGTGTCCTTAAGGACAAGCAAATGGGGATCATCATACTGTCGCTCTCTGATTCACTCATACAAGGAAGGCCGAGCGACTGTGAAAGCTCGAATCCAATTGGACTCTGAAACATCTAACCTCACGAATTGATTTGCCAAAGTTTGAACATCTGCAGCTAACAACCTCTCACCAACTGGAATATATGCAAGGTTGCCCATACTCACAACCTTTCTACTCAAAGCATCGACCACCACATTGGCCTTTCTGGGGTGATACAAAATGGTGATATCATAGTCCTTCAACAACTCCAACCATCTTCTCTGCCCAAGCTGATATCTTATTGTTTGAACAGATACTGTAGACTATGATGATCAGTAAATACCTCACACGAGACACCATAAAGGTAATGCCTCCAAATCTTCAGTGCATGAACAATGGCTGCAAATTCTAAGTCATGAACATGGCAATTCTTCTCGTGAACTTTCAACTGCCGCGATGCATATGCAATGACCCTACCATTCTGCATCAATACTGCACCAAGCCCAACATGAGATACATCATAATACACCGTATAAGATCCTGAATATGTGGTTAATACCAACACTAGCGTCATAGTCAAAGCAGTCTTGAGCTTCTGAAAGCTCAACCCACACTCGTATGAACATCTGAATAGGGCACCCTTCTAGGTCATTTTGGTCAATGGAGATGCTATAGATGAAAATCCCTCCACAAACCGGCGATAATAACCTGCCAAACCCAGGAAACTCCGAATCTCTATAGCTAAAGTAGGTCTAGGCCAATTTTGAACTGCCTCTATCTTCTTATGATCCACTTTTATGACTTCTACCTATAAAACATGCCCGAAAAAAGCAACTGAGTCTAACCAAAATTCACATTTTGAAAATTTGGCATATAACTCATTATTCTTCAAAGTCTGAAGCACAATCCGAAGATGTTGCTTATGCTCCTCTCGACTGCTGGAGTAAATCAAGATATAATCAATGAATACCACCATAAATGAATCCAAATAGGGCTTCAATACTCAGTTCAAATCCATAAATGTCGCTGGGGCATTTTTCAACCCAAATGACATCACTAGGAATTTGTAATGCCCATACTGAGTCCGAAATGATGTCTTAGAGACATCAGATGACCTAATCTTCAACTGATGATAACCAGACCTCAAATCGATCTTTTAAAACACCTTAGCACTCTGAAGTTGATTGAATAAGTCATCAATTGTTGTCAATGGATACTTATTCTTGATATTGACCTTGTTCAACTGCCGATAATCTATACACATCCTCATTGAACCATATTTACTCTTTACAAATAACACTGGTGCACCCTAGGGCGAGACATTAGGTCTAATGAAACCCTCGTCAAGCAAGTCTTGTAACTGCTCCTTCAATTCCTTTAGTTCCGGCGGGGCCATACGGTATGGTGGAATAGAAATGGGTTGGGTGCCCGAAGCCAAATCAATACAGAAGTCAATGTCTATGTCAAGTGGCATCCCCGGCAAATCTACAGGTAATACATCTGGAAACTCATGGACGACTGGAACTGAGTCCATAGAAGGAACATCCGCACTGGGATCGTGAATATAAGCCAAATAGGCTAGACACCCATTCTCGACCATACGATGAGCCTTCATATAAGAAATAACCATGCAGGTAGAATGACTAAGAGTTCTTTTCCACTCTTATCGAGGTAACCCCGGCATGGCTGAGGTCATTGTTTTGGCTTGACAACCTAATATAGCATGATAAGGTGACAGTCAATCCATACCCAATATGACATCAATCTACCATATCAAGAAGTAGAAGATCCACGCTAAGTTTTAAGCCTCCCCATAATAACCACACATGAACGATAGACATGGTCTATAATGATAAAATCTTCCACCGGCGTGGATACATGCATAGAAGCACCCAAAAAATCCAGAGGCATAACAAAATATGAAGCAAAGTCGGAGGACACATAGAAATAAGTAGATCCTGGATCAAATAAAATTGAAGCATCTCTATGGAAAACTGGAACAATACCTGTTATCACGGCGTTGGATGACTCGGCCTCAGGCCTAGCAGGGAAATCATAGAATTGGGGCTGGGCCCCACCACTCAGAGCTACATCTCTGGGACAACCTCTAACTGGCTGGCCTCCACCTCTAACAATCTGACCTCTACCTCTTGCTGTATGAATTCTTCCTCTAGCTGGTCGGGCGGGCGATGGAGCAATCAGTGCTGGCATGATGGCACGAGAATCCCGTTGAGCTCTGTTGCTCGACAACCTAGGGAAATACCTCCTGATGTGACCAATGTTTCCATACTCATAACACTCATCCAGTTTTTGTGGCTACTGAAGCTGAAGCTGACCCGAACGGGCTGGATAACCGTTATAGTGTCACTGGAGCGGTGGTGCTTTGATGGGAGCTGGATGTGCACTAAATGTCGATTGCCTAAAGTAAGGCATAATAGGACCATGACTCCCTGAAGCACCGTGAGATGCCTGAAGTGCTGAATGAAATGGCCTAGAAGGATTACCCCTACCATAAGTACCCCTGACTCCAGATGAGGCGCCTCTAAAATTACCGGAATGACGAGGCCTCTTATCAGACCTCTGCCCTCTCTCCTGTGCAAGAACCTTCTCGATCCTCCTAGCAACATTAGCACCCGCCTAAAAGAAAATCTCACTTCTAGTCTCCTTGGCCATCTGAAGCCTGATAAGGTGAGTGAGTCCATCAATAAACCTCCACACTCTCTCCCCTTCAGTAGGAAGTAAAAGGAGAGCATGACAGGCTAGATCCACAAAACGAGTCCCGTACAGAGTAACAGTCATATTGCCATACTGGAGATGCTCAAATTGCCTGCGGTAATACACTCTTAATGTGATAGGTAGGAACTTCTCTAAAAATAGTCACGAGAACTGCTCCCAAGTTAGTGCAGGTGACCTAGCTGGTCTGATCAACATATAATCTCTCCACCACTTCTTGGCGGAACCCGTCATATGAAATACTGCAAAATCGACCTCATTGGTCTCAACTATACCCATGTTCTACAAAACCTCATGGCAGCGGTCAAGATAATCATGTGCGTCCTTAGAAGGTGTACCGCTAAAGTGAAACCCCAACTGGCGGGGCTGTTGGAGCCTAATGCTGGGGAGTTATCTGCTCCGGAGCGGGAGTAGTGGGAGTCTGTGCTCCTCCCCCAGCCTGTGAAACGGCTGGTGCCACTATAAATGTACCGTTTTGAGCCACGCCCTCCATAAGACTCACCAAATGGACTAGAGCATCCTAAAGCACTAGAGTAGCTATGAATCATTCTGGAACTTGAACTGGTATAACCGGTACAGTCTAAATTGGGACCTCCTCCTGAAGATCCACCTGAGGTTCTACAACAGGTGATGTTGCTCGAGCTATAGACTGAGCTCTGCCTCTGCCTCTAGCGCGACCTCGACGATCTCTACCCCTGATCATAGTTGCCACCAGGAGGCTCTGGCCCTTGTCCGTCGGTAGATGTATTACGCATTCTCGCCATATACGAGAGAATAAGAATAGAATGGTTTAATCATCAATAATAGAATAAAATCGCATGACAAAATAAGAAAGAAGTGATATTGTTTCTAAACTTCATAGCCTCTTAGAGACAAGTACAGACGTCTCTGTACCGATCCTTCAGATGCTGCTAAGCTTGCTCGTGACTCGTGAGACCTATGTAACCTAGTGCTCTGATACCAACCTGTCACGACCTGAAATTCCCACTTTCAGGACCATGATGGTGTCTAATATTTTACTTGCTAGTCAAGCCAATGTTAGAATGATATTAGCCATTTAAAAAAATTAATAACAAAGAAACAAATGCGGAAATAAAGTCTGAAATAAAGTGAATAATCCATAATATTCGCGATGTCTAAATACCATCCCAGAATTGGTGTCACAAGGGCACGAGCTACTAGAATAATACAAATAAAGGTATGAATGAAAATGAAGTTGTCTGAAACAAATACACAGCTACGATAAAGTGGAAGGAGACTTCAGAACTGCGAACAACATGCAGTCATACCTCGAGTCTCCTGCGAATAGCTAAATCCGAGCAAATCTAGTGTACGTCGTTAGGACCAACTCTGGTATCTGCACAAGAAGTGCAGAGTGTAGTATGAGTAAAACTGACCCCGTGTACTATATAACTGCCGAGCCTAACCTCGACAAAATAGTGACGAGGCTAAGGCAGGTCGCTTACATTAACTTGTACGCATTAATAATAATAACAACAACAATAATAATAATAATAATAATAATAATAATAACAGGAATAAAAGTAAAACCGGTAAATCATATAAAAAAAAATTGAAGTCAATTCAGCAATCATAATCCCTCAATTTATTTCCGTTCTGGCGTGCAACCCGCTCCAACAATATAAACTTCAAATAAAATCCGTTGCGGCGTGCAACCCGCTCCAGCAATATATCTTTCAATTAAATTCCGTTGCAGCGTGCAACCTGCTCCATCAATATAATTAAACAACTCTTAAACGTAAAAATACTCCAATAAATACCACATTTAGTAAGAAATTATTAGGAAACAAAGCACACAATTATTATGATTTACTTAGGAAACATGTAATGACAAGTAGCAATTAATTTTAGAAATCAGGGTGAAAATAAACAATTTAATATATAATATACTAAATGTCAAGTAGCAATTACAACACATAATTCAAACAAGCATGCACCAATTATAGCATGGATTTAATACATAATATTGAACAAGGAATTTGAGAGAAATAATTAATATAATAATTAATTCATAACTTAAAATAATTTATGATTTTCAGATAATTATGAAAACAATCAATTTGACGATGTATATGCACTCGTCACCTCGCATATACGTCATTACACATGAAATTCACTTAACAAATAATTTAAGGGCTCTATTCCATCAAGTCAAGGTTAACCATGATACTTACCTCGCTTTGCAACCAAATTCAAGATTCCAATAAACCTTTGCCTCGCGAGTAAGTGTCTGAAAGCTTCAAATCTAGTCACAAACAATTCAATATACTCAACACGAATCATAGGAATTAATTCCATATAAAATAACTAATTTTTTGGATTAAAACCCGAAATTTATTTTAAAAATAGACAGTGGGACCACGTCTCGAATCCCAAAAAACTCACGAAATCCGAACACCCTTTCCAATACGAATTAAACGATACAAAAATTATCGAATTCCAACATCGGATTGCCTTTCAGATCCTCAATTAAAGTCTTTGAAGATTTCTACCATTTACCCAATCTTTATCCATTAGAACTCAACAAGGATGTATAACTAATACTCTCACATCCAAGAATCAAACTCTCAATCACACAAACCCAAACTCGAAATTGATGACTAGGGGTTAAATCCTTACCTCTTGGGTGAAGATCTTGTGATATTTCCTTGTTGGATTTCAAAGCTTGAACATATAATAATTGATTCATGAACTAAAATAATTTATGATTTTCAGATAATTATGCAAACAATTAATTTGACGATGTATAGGCACTCGTCACCTCGCATATACGTCATTACACATGAAATTCACTTAACAAATAATGTAAGGGTTCTATTCCATCAAGTCAAGGTTAACCACGACACTTACCTCGCTTTGCAACCAAATTCAAGATTCCAATAAACCTTTGCCTTGCGAGTAAGTGTCCGAAAGCTTCAAATCTAGTCACAAACAATTCAATATACTCAATACGAATCATAGGAATTAATTCCATATAAAATTACTAGCATAGTGACTTGAGGTGTCCCATGTGGAGCAGTGTTTGGATAGGACCGCGCATTGCAGCGTAGCTATGTGGAGATATGATCTCGCGGGTTAGATTCGTGTGTTCTATTCTATGATGTGAGACGGGCCCTCAGCCTTGTGTTGTGGTGGTACTGGTGAGCTTGAGTTACAGCTCTTTCATTTGAGTCATTTCCATGATTTGAGCATGTTCAGATCGTTGCTTATTGGTGCGCGTATTATGCTAGTTGTGGCTTAGGCCTCTATTGATGTGTCGTGTCGCCAGAGTGGTATGTTGGACTAGAGGAGATCGTTGGATCATTAATGAATACGGACGGATTCGATTTCAGCTTGTTTGGGACTTATTCACAATATAAATGTGAGATTTTGAAAGCATTGCAGATTTTAGAAGCAGAAATGTGGTTATATGGTTTATGGACTAGGATGGATTGTGAAATTTCAGTATATTGTGTTATCGGACCTATATGAGATAGGGTGACGTGGGATCACCCCCGGGTATATGCATGGTAAGGTTATTCAACGATTGGTTGGCTTGTAGAACGACTCTGGGTACGTTCGAGGACGAACGTGCGTTTAAGTGGGGGAGGATGTAACGACCCGACCGGTCGTTTTAAGCTTTTGCACTTTGATCGCCAGTTCTCGGGCATGACTTGCCCCGTATTATGTATTATGACTGATGTAGATCGCTGGTTTTAGTTTTTAGGAAGATCGAAATGAATTTGAAGGAACAATCTCCGTTGAAAACTTTGAATTTGAAAGGTTTGACCAAGGATTTGACTTATTAGCATATGAGCTCGGATCGGAATTTTTATGGTTCAGTTAGCTTCGGGAGGTGATTTATGATTTAGGAGTGTAATCGGAATTGGTTTTGGAGGTCCGGAGTAGAATTAGGCTTGAATTGGCGAAGTTGATATTTTGGCGATTTCCGGTTGGTAGGTGAGATTTTGATCCGAGGGTTGGAATGGAATTCCGAGAGTTGCAGTAGCTTCGTTATGTCATTTGGGATGTGCGTGTAAAATTTCAGGTCATTCGGATGTGGTTTGGTTGGGTTTTTGATCGAAAGTGTATTTCGGAAGTTTTTGGAAACTTAGGCTTGAATTTGATGAGTTTTGGATAATTTGATGTTGTTTGAGGTGTTTTGATGATTGGAACAGGTTTGAATAATGTTATGAGATATGTTGGCGTGTTTAGTTGAGGTCCCGAGGGCCTCGGGTGAGTTTCGGGTGGTCAATCGGACCACTTTGTGCCTTAAAAGATAGCAGAAAATTTGCAGGTTCAGAGTTGCAGGATTTTTGTTCTCTGCGATCGCATTAGAGGTCTTGCGATCGCATAGGAGGATTTGTGGGGCTGTTCTGTTGTTCATTGCATTCGCATAGTATAGCTTGCGATCGCATAGTTTGGGGAAATTGTTCTTCGCGAACGCGGTTGAGGCATCGCGATCGCACAGAGTAAAGTTGACCTGAGGTCTTAGTTGGATTTTGTTCATCGCGAACGTGGAAGGTTATCCGCGATCGCATAGAATTATTTGGGCAGTGCATTGCAATCGCATTGGGTTTGGTGCGTTCGCATAGAGTTAATTTCGGGAGCTGAAGATTTGTTCTTCGCGATCGCGAGGAATGTTCCGCGATCGCATAGAAGAAAATACCCCTGGGCAGAATGTTTTTAAAATCATCTTGTTCGCTAATGTGGGTCTATTTTCACCCATGGCTGCTCGTTTTTGGAGACTTTTGAATGAAAATAAGGAGGGATTCAAGAGGAATCGACTTGAGGTAAGAATCTTTGTCTTATGACTCGATTATATTGTGAAATCCACCTAGAAATTCATGGAAATTAAGCCTAAAATTGAAGAACTAGGTCTTGAGATTTTGAAATTTGATTTAGGGATTTGAAGGACCATTTGAGGACGGATTTGATAACTTTTGGTATGTATGAACTCGTGAGGAGATAAGGAATCTATTGATGTGAAAATTTCTGAGTTTCAAGAAGTGGGCCCGGGGCTCGGGTTTTGGTAATTTCGGGATTTGTGCCCGTTATTAATTATTTTCGCTTGGGTTTTGTTCCCATAGCATATTGTGACGTATTCGTTCTGATTTTGGATAGATTCGACGCGCCTGGAGGCCGATTTAAGGGGCAAAGGCGTCGCGAGCTAGAGATTTTGCCAGTTCGAGGTAAGTAATGATTGTAAATACTTTCCTGAGGGTTTGAAACCTCGGACTACACATCGTTGTGTTACTTTGAGGTGACTTAAACGCTAGATGACGAGCGTGGGGTAGAGCACCGCTGGGGATTGTGACCTAGTCCATCCCGAACGAGTACTTTAATGCGTATTTGATAGTTAATTGTTTGATGTTATTATATTTTTGAGTTGTATGCCATGTTTGGGGCCTTGTGCCGACTTGTTGAGACCCTTATGGCATTTTTACTATCTATCCTCACTCTAATTGTTTGAAAGCATGTCCTCAGTCATGTGTTACCTGTTTATTACTCAAATCTGGCTTTATCACTATATTCTTAAAATATGGAAACTGTTTTAGGCTGAGTTCCCTATTTTTATTGAGATAGACCGAGGGTCTGATTGTGAGGTTAATGACTGCGAGAGGCCGAGGGCCTAGTTGTGAGGATTATATATCTATGGATCGGGTTGCAGGCCGCAGCAATATATATACATATATGGATACAGATCGGGATGCACGCCGCAGCAATACTTATATGGGTCGGGCTGCACGCCGCAGCAATATTGCGTTTGGGCCGTAAGGGGCCCCTCCCGGAGTCTGCACACCCCCAGTGAGCGCCGTCGACGAAGTATATGGAACGGGTTGCACGCCGTAGCGATATATGGATCGGGCTGCACGCCGCAGCGGTTACTATATGGTACCTATTGAGCGTGAATGCTGAGTACGAGTACTGATTGGTAAGAGTTGAGTCACGAGTGACAGAGAGGCTAGCCCGAGGGACGATAGATATATTCATGCATATGAGTGTTGTTTGCCTGAGAGGCCTGTTTATGAACTTATTAATTTCACTCCTCTTTAAAGTAAGTTTCTATCGAATATGTTGATTTACTGACTGTTTTCACTCATATTTATATGGAGCCTCTGTCGGAAGGTTGAACAAATGTTTTAAAACAACTTTTATTTAAACTGGGGTTTGTGAGATGTTCAGAAATTAATCACTGATTTGGGATTTGGTTATTTCCATCGAGATTTTCAAGTCATGAAGTATTTATGATCACTATTTTGCCCGAGGGGCTGTTTTATGAACTATGCTTTGCCCGAGGGGCCGATTATTGCTTTGATCTCTATTATTATTTTAAATGGTATTGAACCCCTAATGAAACTGCTGGAAGCATTCCAAAAATGATTTTTACTAAAAGCTGGATTTTAAAAGGGAAGGTTGACTCGTATTATGATTTGAAAGCCTGTTGTGTTTATTGAGCCTAACGCGAATGTGGATTCATTGTTTCCTACTGCTCGGTCTTTATTTACTCTTATTACTTACTGGGTTGGAGTACTCACATTACTCCCTGCACCTCGTGTGCAGATTCAGGTATATCGAAACCCGGTAGCGGGTGTTGATTTGCTCAGACGCGGAGTCATCAGAGTTAGCAGGTGGCTGCATGACGTTCGCAGCACCGCTCCCTTCCTCACATTGCTATTACTGTATTTAGTACATTATTTTAGACTTCCTGTTGTATTCAGACC